TGTGTCTATCAAATAGATTTATTCGATTTGTTCTTCTCATTTTACCATATCAGCAACCCTAAATTTTCTCTAAAGCACTAAGTTCCTCATCTCTATTGACTCTTTCACCATCGATCTTTATTTCTAATGCTTGTGAATGAAGACAATATCGATGGAATCCACACAGGATGCACATATACTATTTACAGAGTGATTAGTTCCAGTTCTAAAACAACAATGGGAAAATACAAGTAAACAACAATACCAAGTGAATATACAGTAAATAGTTAATTTGCAAAATATCAATCCATCGTCTCAGATTTCATTATCCCTGCATTTTCATATCAATTACTTTCTGTTTGTGTTCTTTCCTTCTTGATCTTCTATTAAATTACATTCTATTCCTGACTATCATTATATACTACTTATTGTGGATTTAAGTAGCTCATAACACATTATGACTACAATTATTCTTTTCAATGTATATTTGCCAGTAACCATGATATCTTTGATTGGGTCCTTCGGTAACTTATACAGCGAGATGTCGTAAACGTTTTATAAATGCTCCTGAATAGGTTATGAGACTAATGGGTATAATGATGTATGAAAACAGATAACTTGTTGAAATATCCGGATGATAGAAACAAGTAGCCCAGATATTCAAACAGGTGGCCTAGAATTCAACTCATAGAACAGACTTGTAACGTTATAACATTTAACACATTGATAAATACAGTATGTACGATATTTTGTCTTATTGTATGTATATAAATCTACATGTTGATACATTTTCAAGGTTTTTACAATGACAACATGGTAGTAAGTATGAATCACTATTCAATATTTAATTATCTATTCACTTAATGAATTTTAACTGTTTATACAATGTAAGCAAAGATGGATAGTGGTTAGTAATGGAGTACAGTTTGATGCGCGTTTCATCCTATGTTGGACTCATCAGCTGGAGGTAACTACATCGCAGAGCTGATATTCACTATGGGATTCGAACTCGGTATCGTTTATACGATGATTATATAGAAATTTATTTGAATAAATTAACTTTATTTTTATCTTTCATCAAGTCAAAAAAGGGGGAGAAGGTTTAGAGATTATAGTAAGTTTTAATGGTTGAATTCATGAACTGATTAATATTAGAGTACTATTGAAGACTTGGAAGTATTAGATGGTTGTTTTATCCTAGTATGGGACTCCTTAGCAGTGAGCATCCACGATCTTGCCTTGAGAGATTCGGACCCACGACCTATCAGTCTCGCACAAGACCACTGAGCCAACATCTAACCGTTTTAATGTCTAACTCTAACCAATTCACGAAATTGCTTCACCGTACACCGTACAAAAAACCCCTTCTGATAATTAAATAGTAGTAAAGAGTATAAAGAGCCAATTATCTGATAATTACATAATGAACATAATGATTCACCCTATGAATAGTCTTAAAGTTAAAGATTTCTTAACATCCCCTTAGATGTAACAAATATTATACTGGCAAATAGAACCGATATACAGACGTGATAGGTTATACTTTGCGTAGAACTGAGTAACCCCCCCCCCCGCCACCACCCTCCGATGATATTTTTTTAAGAATTCGTATATTTCAGTTATTAATCTCGAGAACTGCAATTGATCAGTCACTATTGGTCAAATTACATCTTAAACAGACACCTTCTATATTGCGGTTAAATTAAAAAATGTTATCAAAAATGAATAATCACTAGGTGTGGAACTCATCTATTGAATTCATCTACATCTCACTGTTGATATTCACATCGAGACACAATCTCATTACCTATCATATTAACAGACAACATTCTTCACAGTTAATCACTGAGTCAAATGTTAAGATCAACAAATGGGAAAGTACAAAATCTTTACAAATAAGATTTATATCCATTGGACAAAATAATGATTATCAGGAGTTATTTAATAAACGGATTATAAGAGTATTGTATAGTAATAAAAATTTCTTTATCTTTTAATAATATCTGCAAGATTTTTGTATTTTCCCATTGCTGATGTTACATTACACTGTGAATTGAGGACAGATATGAGAACAATGAAAAACAAATGGTTAGAACTAGAAAATAAACCTCAGGATAGAGTGAATTAGAGAATACTGGTCGGTAGCCTATACTTCACTGAGAGTAACAAGCATAAGTAAAGGGAAGTAAATATCCACATTTTGATCAGTTTTTCTAGTAGATATCATCATATGATTACAAATATTTACTGAAACTAGAGCGTTCTAGATTTCAATGATATACACTTTCTATTATCAGACATTAACACCGTTGGATACTGATCTCGTGACTGAGCACTCGCGCATGAGACTGATAGGTCGTGGGTTCGAGTCTCGTGAAGTAGGATCATGGATATGCACTGTCAAGGAAAAGTTCTACAATAAGATGAAACGACCATTCAATGGTTCCAGGTTTTCCATGAAGGCCTAGCTTCAATTAAAACTCATGATTTCAACGATATTTTGTTGTCTATTCTTTCTATTTAAAGTTACATCCAAAATGTATGTGATCATAATTCAATATGTACAAACATTTATCATTAAGGGTTTAATTCATTCAATGATAGATTATCGATTATTTCTTTTTTTATTCTTATTTACAATAACGTTGATCTACCCACTTATTATGTAACAGTGATTTTGACCTTTAATCGAATTTTTTTAAACTTTCATGTTCATCTAATGATTCTTTAAATGTAACCCATTGAATTCAATGAGTCGATCTAAGATAAATCAATAATTAAGATCTAAGAGTACTGGATCACTGTTTTGTTCTAGTAATGAACTCTCCAGTAGAGAGAACATCCATGATTCCAGACATAGGAATTGAACCCAATGTCTTCGAGCTCGCATGGTAAACACTTAAGCTCTACACTAGTGAATTGGTATCCGATAGTATTAATGTCTAACTTTAATCGATTCATGATTTGGCGCAAGATTTCAACTATTGTCTGAGGTGGATAACTGTCTGACATCTGACATGGATTGAACACTACTGATCACTGTTTCTCATTAGAACTCTAGGAAATTCATCTTGAAACTAGTCACTCGTGAGTATATGATAATCATCAGAATGAAGGATTTATGGAGATTGTAGTAATTTTAACAATTGAATTCATATATAACGAAAAATATATTTATTATTAACATTCTATTCAATGTTCAATTTATTCGAAACTATCAAGTCTATCCTGAGTATTGATATTTATACTTACTTACTTACGCCTGTTACTCCTAATGGAGGAGATAAGGCCGCCGACTAGCATTCTCCAACCCACTCTGTCCTGGACCTTCCTTTCTAATTCTATCCAATTCTTGTTCATTTTTCTCATGTCTATCTCCATTTCTCGGCGTAATGTGTTCTTTGGTCTTCCTCTTTTCCTTTGGCCTTGAGGATTCCGTGTGAAGGCTTGTCTTGTGATGCAGTTCGGTGCTTTCCTCAATATGTGTCTTATTCACTTCCAGCGCTTCTTCCTGATTTCTTCTTCCACTTAAATCTGGTTTGTTCTCTGTCACAGTGAGTTGTTGCTCATAGTGTCTGGCCAACCAGTCCTAAGTATCTTGTGTAGACAACTGTTAATAAACACTTGTATCTTCTGGATGATAGATTTCGTAGTTGTCCAAGTTTCCGCCGCATACAGTAGAACTGTCTTGACATGTGTATTGAAAATCCTGACTTTGGTGTTGGTTGACAGTTGTTTTGAGTTGCAGATGTCCTTCAGTTGTAAATATACTGCTCTTGCTTGATATTTATAACCTAGGGTTAATTTACTAAACTATATAGAGAGACCATTGGATTGCGGTCCAGTGGTTTAAAGGTTAAGCTTTTGCTTTATAAACAAAAATGATCTGAATTCAATTCCTGGATGTAGAAGTGTCGATCCCTACTTTTAAGAAGTTCAACACTACGATGAAATGTCTATCTACTACTTCTATCATTTCAGTGATTAGTGATCTCAATAAGATTTAACGATCTCCATAACTTCATAATAATCGAAAAAGTATATCATTTAGTATATATTTTAGAAACATTTCAATTTATATTCAATTCACAATATGAACTGAATTCATCTACACAAACTTTCCAAATCAGATAAGTCTCGTTTCAAAATGATACCCTCTCAATTATATGTAACCTATGAATTCATCAATCGATTCTCACTAGAACTTCAGGAAATACCTCTTGAAGTAACTCACTAGTGGGTATATGATGATTATTAATTTCAGAGAGGATTTTGTGAATATTATAGTAATTTAAATAGTTGAATACATAAATTGGTGGACGATGGCGCAATTTCGTGGATTAGTTAAAGTAAGAGATTAACATCGTTGAATGCGTGTTAAGTGGTCAAATGGTTAGGCGATCGCGTGCTGGGCCGATAAGTCCTGGGTTCGAATCTCGCGGGATGGGGTCATGGGATCGCAATGCCGAGGAGTTACATATTAGGACGAAATGGCTGTCCAGTGCTTCGAGGTTTTCATAGTGGTCTAGCTTCAACTGACTCATGATCTCAACTGTTAAAATTACTTTAATCTCAACAAAACCCATTCTGATAATAATCATCGTATGCTCACTAGTGACTATCTCCAGGAGATATTTCCTGGAGTTCTAGTGAGAAGCAGTGACCGGTGGAGTTCAACCGGGTCTGTTATGAGATAGTAACTCACTGGAGACAACGATGGATGTGTCACTCAAATTCTCAGATTGGTTGAATGCCGGTTCAATGGTCTAGTGTTTAAGCGCTCGCATGCGAGACCGATAGGTCCTGGATTCGAATCTCTCGAGGCGGGATCGTGGAAACGCACTGCTGAGGAGTCCCTCACTAGGACAAAACGGTCGTCTATTGTTCCCAGGTTTTCAATGATGATCTAGCTTCAGTTGACTTATGAAGGCTTTCTGCTAATTACTTTGTTGATTCCTATCTATACGATCATTCATCTTTAATATGTATACATGTTCATCTTTATTTCTTATAAAACTTAGAATATAAAACAACAGTTTGTCATTGTTATAATGGATCATCATGAAAAAACAATCAATAATACTGAATCAATTCATTATGTTACAAATTATGTAACATTTCCATCAATTAAAGATCCTATTTATCATACAAGTCAACAAAATAATTACATTCATAATAATAATGATTATTATCGTAATCTTCATCATCATGATCATCATCATCATCATCTTCATCATCATTATGAACATAATCATCTTGATCCTTCTCAACAAAGACATCATTCATCTTGTAATAATCAATTACAACAACCTTATATACATTATACAATAGATACAGATGAACATCTATTTCCAATCAATGATACACCTTCAATGACTACTACTAATAATACAACATCATATATGGAAGATATCAATGATAATGAATTATCTTTTAATCATAATGTAACTAATGTTTCATCAACTGCTACTGCAGCAGCTATGGCAGCAGCAGCAGCCGCCGCCGCCGCTGCTGCATCTGCTGTAGCAGTAACAACTGGAGTTGTTGTCACTTTACATAATACAGATTATTCTATCAATTCTTATATTCATCAACCTAACTTATCATCTTCATCAAGTTACAGTTATTATCAATATTATTTAAATGATCCACAATATCAACATCATCATGAATCCATTGATTTATTCACATTACATCCTAATCATCCAATACAACAACAACAACAACAACAACAACAAGATATTGAAGATGTTAATACCAGAATTGATACTACTTTTACATCTACTACTTCTAACAATAATCATAGTAGTAATGATCTTTTAGAAGCAACAACAAAACATACTATTCGACATTCAAATGATAATCGTATGAAATCACAAACGAAATTATCTATTTCTGATGATAATGATGATGATGCTGATGAAGATGTAAAAGGTCGAAATCAAAATATACTTAAATCTGGTATGTTATGTCTTATATGTGAAGATAAAGCAACAGGTAAGTTGATGTTATGAGGAATGATGAATAATAATAATTAAGAATGAAATCTGGTATGTGTGATTTTTTAATTCTATTTAAGATTTGTCAAATGGATGTAATTGTATCCTAAAGTTCATATGACTTGGAATAACTACTTACTTACACCTGTTATTCTCAATAAAGGAGCATAGGCCATCGACCAGCATTCTTCAACCCATTCTGTCTTGAGTTTTCCTTTCTAGTTCTATACAAATGTTGTTCATTCTTCTCATTATCTGTCTCCATCTCTCGGTGTAATGTGTTCTTTGGTCTTCCTCTTCTCTTTTGGCATTGAGGATTTCAAGTGATGAGAACTTGTGTTGTGACGCAATTGGGTACTTTCTTTAATGTGTGCTCTATCCACTTCTAGCGCTTCGAATCACTAGCTAAGTAGATAACATGATAGAGTTTGAAAAGAAAAGTACTAGGTTCGAGTCACAAAGTGTAAATAACCTCTAGGATGTATATATATCTAGTTAGTGATTACCAAATAGAATGAAATGGATCAACTTTTAGATCATTGAATTAGCATCAAATGATTTACATATGTAGTTTTAATCATTTGGTAACTTAGTGTGGTAATATTAATGATAACTTACTTCGTATTGCTGTGTACTTGAATCTTCCCATCGATGATTAGGATGGCAATTGATCAGTTGCTTATTAGCATATGTGCATACTGTGCGAATTGTCTCGTTATTGCCTTAAGTCACAAGCTTTGTAAGCGAAGATGGATGGTGGCTAGCAGTGGAATACAAGATGCGCGTTTCTTCCTACTCGGGGCTCGTCAGTTAGATGTACCTGCATCTCAGAGTTGATGTTCACTACGGAAGTTGAACATCAGTATTGTTCGCTTCAAACGCCATCGCGTTATTCACTTACTTACTGAGTCCTAATAGCCACTTGCTTGTGCAACAGAGTGAAGTTTAAATTCACTTAGTATTGTTTACTTGTATCTTCTCATTGTTATTTAGGATTTCAAATGATCAATCTATCTCTTATTGGCATATGTGCATCTTGTGTGAACTGTTTTCAATATTCCCTTAAGTCACAAGCTTTATAAGTGAAGATGGATAGAGGCTAGCAGTTTATTGTAGTTTGATGCTCGTTTCGTCCTATTTGGGACTCGTCAGCTGAATGTACCTGAATCTCAAAATTGATGTTCCCACTTCAGACATGAATGAACATTTATATATCAGTTTTATTTTTGGTTTACTATTTAGTAAAATGGTTTTATTAAGAGTTTATACGATATAATAATTAACTTCCATATTAAAGTAATATCATCTATTATATTGAACAATGTACTATAAAGATCAGAATGGGTTTTGTGGAGAATTTTAGAAATTTCACAGGTTGAAATCATGAGTCAGTTGAAGCTAGACCACCATTGAAAACTTGGAAGCACTGGACGGCCGTTTCGTCCTGGTACGGGACTCCTCAGGAGTGCGCACCCACGATCCCGCACCACGCAGGGCTCGAACCCAGGACCTACTGACTTCGCGCGCGAGCACTTAACCACTAGATCACTGAGCCGGCACTCAACGGTGTTAATGTCCAACTTCAACCAGTGGTCTAGTGGTTAAGTGCTCGCGCGCGAAGCCAGTAGGTCTTGGGTTCGAGCCCTGCGTGGTGCGGGATCGTGGGTGCGCACTGCTGAGGAGTCCCATACTAGGACGAAACGGTCGTCTAGTGCTTCCAGGTTTTCCATAGTGATCAAGCTTCAATTGACTCATGATCTCAACTATTAAAAGTATAGAAATAAGTTTGTTCATTGAATATTTAATGAATATTAATTCATTTAAGAAAGCCTGATCAGTAATTTGACTATTTATGAAAATTTCGTATATATTGAGACATTATAGGTGTGACTTGAATTTTTTGACGAACCAATCAGGAATAAGATAATAAGCCTTGGATTTTGGCGCGAAATTCATTCGTCCATTCGATGAAATAGCGTCTTGGTATTTTAGCTGTTGTCAATTCATAATGAAAACCTTAAATCTAATTCCTATCCCTAACCATCAATTGTATGTTGGTGGACATTCTCAAGGTTGCTTTGGCGTCGTTCCAAGGTTATCCATAAATGATAGTCTCATCAGATTATCAAATAGGATTTTCAGCTTTATTTACATGTTGCTAAGCTCAGATTCATTAATCATTCTCTATTTTAATACAAATTACAACAAGATATGCCACATTCACTCAACATTCATTAATCGGTATCTAATATTAATCAATAACCGAAATACAATTTTAGAAAAACTGAATATAGTTTGAATGTATCGCACTTATTCATTAAATAATTGAGTTTGTATTTATTTAAAGTTGTTTTTTGCGCGAAAAAACGAGATTGTAAATTATATTTATATAAAATGCTAGTTATGAACACTTATGAAATACTGAACGGCATGATACAGCATGATACTCTTCAGCGGTGTGCACTCAGGATTTGAACCCAGGATCTTCAGTCTCCCGCGTCGGATAGAGACATGTATCTACCACAGAGAGTGGATGAATAGTTGTGCAGTTTTTCATGGATCGATAAAAGTTAAACAATAACATCGTTAGATGCCGCTTACGAGGTCTAGAATTAAAGCGTTCGCGAGTGAGATCGAAGGTTCTCGCTTCGAATATTAAGTGCGGGTTGATGAATGTGCACTGTTGAAGAGTACAATACTAATACAAAATAGCCGTTCAGTGGTTTCAGGTTTTCCATGGTTGTCTAATATCAATCGGTTCATGAACTCAATCAGAAAAAAACTTGATAATCTCCACAATCTAACACTTATGAAATACGAACCCAGGGCCTTCAGTCTCGTGCGCGAGCGCTTAACCTCCTGGACCACTTAGTTGGCATGCGATGGTGTTAATGTCTAACCTCAACCAATCCATGAAATTGTGTGAATATCTTCTCTCGTAATGAGGTAGATACCTGTTTCTACCCGACACAGATTAGCTCCACTGGTAACGGCTACTCACTAGAAATCCATGAGTTCCCTCACGAAGCTAGTCACTAGTGAGCACATGGTAATCATCAGTATGGAGTTGTGGAAATTATAAAGTTTTTGATTGAGATCCTCAATTTCTCAGGTCGGTTGAGGTTAGAAATTAACACCGACTCAATCGTCTACTGACTAAGAGTTCGCGCGCGAGACTGAGAGCCCTGAGCTCGAATCCTGCAAGCAGGATCTTGGATGCACACTGCCAAGCAGGAGTCCTAAAACAGGACAAAACGGTCATCCAGTGCTTCCAGGTTTCCCATGGTCAGTCAGTCAGCCACAACGTAGAACCAGGCACATATATGTATCGACACAAGTTGTTATACCTCACTAGCACAACAAGATCAACACCGGATTCATAGAAGTAGTTAATTTAATGGTGGTAATATATAAAAGAAAGATTGCATATAAGGATACAGTACAGGAAGAAAGAATTAGTTGGTAGAAAGAAAGATATGTAGCGATTTTAATCTTTTAGTTTAAGGGAAGACAGAAAGTGTATACACCGACGCCATCGTGATCGATTCTGAGACATGTCACTTAGAATGTCCAACCATTGGTTACGATAGTCACGCAGACCCCAACCAAGTAGTCTGCACCTACCAACATGGCTAAGTCTAGAAGTTAGTGACTTCAAGCACTGATGTCACGTTTTGGTTTGGCCACTCCTTACGTTCTTCCAACCATTCCCAACACTATTCAGCATTGTCTGTCGTGGTAATCGGTGTTCGGGCATACCGACCACGTGGCCCAACCATCTCAGTCAATGAAAATTCACAACTTCATCAACTGATTTACCATCATTCCCCAATACACTGCGTCTAACCTCACTATTACTTACTCGGTGATGCCAGCAGACGCCAGTAATATCTCTAAGGCATCTGTGGTCAAATACTAGTAGCTTACGTGTGTCTTCTACTCTTAAGGGCCACATTTCGTAGCCGTACAGTAAAACAGAATGAACTGCCGCGCAGTATACTCGTCCCTTAATTGATAGACGGATATCTCGCTTTCACCATAGGTGACATAACTTGTCAAAAGTCAAACAAACTTTTCAAATCCATGCTGAGATTTTGTCAAACACCAACACCACTCAAGACTATTGTTTTCCATGGTGGTCTAATATCACTCGATTCATGATCTCAATCAAGAAAAATAAAAAAAACGTCACAATCAGTTCAATACTGTTTGTTTGTGTGTATGTGTGTGTGTGTGTGTTGTTTTTCTCTATTTTTTTTCGACAGTGAGGAAATACTTTTTTTCATTACACTGAAATAAATCAAAAAATGTTTCTATAATGGATACAATAAGTTTTATATGGATATAAATTAAAATAACTTACTTGTGTGATATATCAATATTGTATGTATATGCATGTGTGCATGTGTGCATGTGAATGTGAATGTGCGTGTGTGTGTGTGTGTGAATGTGTAAACTTATCAACCACAAATGGTAAATATACATTAGTGTGTTTCATTAAGTCTACTATACAAGTGTTTTCTTTGTAATGAATTTGTTGTTGTTGTTGTTGTTGTTATGGTTGATTAGGTACCATGTTAAATGATTGTTTCTATGTTTCTATGTAAGTGATTTTAATGATAAGAAGTTAGATTTGATGTAATGTAAACATGAAAAAAAAGTATATCTCATTGATAAATTTAAGTGTACTTGAAATGTGTGATATTTATGTCGATATTTTTAGTTTACCTAATTACTTACTTACTTACTTACTTATTTAAGTCTGTTATTCCCAATGAAACAAATCTTATCATTTCAATTTTGTCCTTCATGTTCAAGGAAGAATTATGACGCCTTCTGATGAAAGCCAAGATTCTTTGGAAATCACGATGGACGATGCGTCTTCTAACAACCACAGGAACAATTAATATAGGTACATGGAATGTTCGGATAATGTGAGAGATCAGGAGAACCAGTCATATAGCAAAGGAAATGAGGAGATACAATCTGATAGTGTTCGGAATCAGTGAAACCTATTGCACCTAAGCTGGATAGAAAAGGATGGATTCGGGAGAGATGCTGCTGTACTCTGATCATGAAGAGAAAAATGCTCCATGTACTCAGGGAGTTGCATTGATGCTGTCCAAAGAAGTACAAAAAGTACTTGTAGAATGGGAATCTCATGGATCCAGGGTCATCAAAGCACCCTTCAAAACAAAGAAGGAGGAAAACACAAAGAATATTACACAAAAATAATGGCAATGAAGACGATAAAGTTCAGTTTTGTCACAGGCTGCAATCCATCATAGCCAAAGGCCCAAGAAAGGATCTTGCCATCCTGATGGTAAACCTCGACGCCAAAGTCGGAATGGACAACGCCTGGCATGAAGATATCATGGAACGATATTGACTGCAAGAAAGGAGTATGAATGGTGATAGATTTACAAATATATAGATATATATTCAATCGAGGTTGATTGAATTCCATGTTAGACATGATTACTACTATCAGAAAAAAGTTTGTTAATAGCATTATTTAACAGATATATTCAGAGTCCCGGAGTGAACATCAACCCTGGGATGCAGCTAGATTCAGCTGACGAGTCTAAAATAGGACGAAACGCGCGTCCTTGATTTCACTGCTAGCCACGATCATCTTTGTTTTAAAAGATTACATAATAGTTCCTGTAAAAATTGAAAATTCATGAGGACAATGACTATCTTTTTCGATAGTTGAGATCACGAGTCAATTGATGCAAGACCACTATGGAAAACCTCGAAGCACTGGACATCTATTTCATCCTAGTGTGGGACTCCTCATGACTGCGCATACACGATCCCACCACAAGATATTCGAATCCAAGACCTATCGGTCTCTTGCCAACGAACGATTAACATGTAGGCCACTGAGCCGACCGGCATCCAACGGTGTTAATGTCTTACTTGAACCAAACCACGAAATTCGGCTACCGTCCACTATTGTTTATAGTGAGTTACTATCTCAAAGCAGACCCGGTTGAACTCCACTGGTCACCGTTTCTCATTAGAACTCCAGGAAATACCTCTTTTTGTCCATGAAATCTTTTTCACAGTAATGTTTCTAATTATGCATTTTAATACTTGTAAGTAGTATAAAATGTATTACAACATTTTCCACGGGAACCGCTCACATTTATAATTAAATGTATTGAATAATTTCAATAGTTGAGATCATGAGTCGATTGAAGCTAGACCACCATGGAAAACTTGGAAGCACTGGATTTGAATTTCGCAAGGAGGGACCGTGGATGTTCACTGCTGAGGAGTCCCACAATAATACGAAACTGCCGTCCAGTGCTTACAGTTTTTCCATAGTGGTCTAACTTCAATTGGCTTATGATGTCAACGATTGAAATTACTACAATCTCTACAAAAACCTCCTCTGGTGTTGAATAATTATTCCTGCTGTGTTGTACGCACTTAAATAATGATAGCGCTGCAGTTTAAATTATAATAACGAGAGTTTATAAAAACTGTCAACTTAAAATTAATCAATTTTTTTTAGTAAAACTACCAGTTAGCAAAGGTTTGTATTTTCGGAGTTCTATACTCAGGACTCCAACTGAAGGAGTCTCTGTGTCATATATGATTTCTTGGTAGATTTTCTCTATATACTGCTATTAAAGAAGTTTAAGTATATTTGATATGTATTTCTGGTTAGCGTTTTTTTAGCGAGTTAGTTTCCTACGGGATGGGGTCGCTAACCCCATGCCTAACCCTCCCACTTTATCCGGGCTTGGGACCGGTAGTAGCCCCTGGGGGGACTCCATGCGGAGTTATACTTGATATGTAACTGGCAGTGAAATCTATAACACTTGATTGGTTCTGTTAAGAAGTAGTTATAACGAAGTACTTGTATCCTAGTGATGATTTTCTATGTATATAGAACATAGAATAGTGTCTTCAGGACATTCATATACACATAAATAATCATAAACTCATGATATCACTTGATAAATTACTAGAAATCAGATATTACCTATCTGTTGTTCAGTCCAAGTTTTAAGTTCCTAGCCAAGATGCTCTCCTCATCTGATACAAGATTGTATTGAACATCTTCAAGTTTAGTGAATCCTATTCTGATCAGATAATTACCTAATTGGTTATTAATCACATAGCAACTATTCTACAATCAATTTTGATTAAACCTTTTTATTAACTTAATTAATAGACAATGTTAATTGAATAGTAACAATTCGTTTATTTCTTTGTACTGTTATGATCACTAGAATACATGACAGACTCTAGCTAAAATATTGATTGTTTAAATACCAATCGATTATTCATCCTCATCCTCCTCCTCCTCCTCCTGATGTATGCGAATCCTATTATTAGCTTTTACTTTGCCTTCCTGTGCCCTTATGCGATTCGACTATAAATTTGCTTATGTACTCGTCTCTCCGCTTCAAATTCTCTTGATGTGCTTATAACTTTGTGATTTGCGCTATCTGTTAATAAACTGTAGTTGCTGCTTATCCATTACCTTTTGATTTCAAACACATTTGAGATTTATATTCTAATGATTATCGAGTTGATTGATTAACGAAGCGAAGCCATCAGAATCATTGTATCATTGCCAGAACAAAACAGAACCTATCATCTCATTATTACCCTGTTTTATTTTTGTACATAATCTAACATCCAAAGTAAGATTGAAGAAGAAGGAAGACCTTATGGAATAATTTCTCTGGTTAGCGTTTTTTAGTGAATAAGTTTTCTACGGATTGCGGTCGCTAACTTCATGCCTAACCCTCTTTCTTTATCCGGGTTTGAGACCGGCAGTAGCTCCAGAGGGGCTCCAGGCGGAGTTGAAACTTTACGGAAATGGAATGTTTTTAAATAGATCAAACTAGATTCATTTATAAGATGGTGGTTAGAGGTAGTCAACAAGAAACCCTGGACTCGGGTTTCGTGCTACTTGGCACTCGTCAACAAGGTGTACCTGTAATCAAGTAGCACTAGTTCCCTCAAGATTACAGGGTTTCCTATTGATTACCTCCAACCACCATCTTATCTCAACATAGTGCAAGCTATGTTGAATCATCTAGACTAGTGGCCACATTGCAACTTGTTCGATAGCATTCAGTCTGCACTAAGAAGGACTTGACACACATGATATTGATCACCACTGAGTGATCAATCCATTGTAGATTGATTTATTTCTGACCCATTCAAGTAGAAGTTTCTTATCTCGTTCCATGGAATTAACTTTGTTCTGTCTTCGTTTTTTTTTCTTCCTAATTTTCATCATGTATAGGTAAACATTATGGTGCTTTTTCATGTGATGGATGTAAAGGATTTTTTCGACGTTCTGTACGTCGTAAACATTCATATACATGTCGTCATAAGAAAAATTGTATTGTTACAAAAGATAAACGTAATCAATGTAGATTTTGTCGTTTTCGTAAATGTTTTCGTGTTGGTATGAAAGAATCTGGTAAGAAATAAAATTGTATCTTTCTATTGTAATTATGAATACTTACTTACTCCTAATGGACGAGCAAAGGCCGCTGATCAGCATACTTCAACCCATTCTGTCCTGCATTTTCCTTTCTAGTTCTATTCAATTGTTGTTCATTCTTCTCATGTCTATCTCCATTTCTCAGCGTAATGTGTTCTTTGATCTTCCTTTTTTCCTTTGGTTTTGAGGATTCCAAATGGAAATTATGAATGGTCTTCATGTAAAATATGACGATGAATTTTACTTATTACATTTTAAATGATGTCCTTACGAATGTGACAATCAAAAATGTCTATCTAGGTATTCAGTCCCGGTTCTATGTAGTTTGTATAAGAACAAATAATACTACATGGTTGTCCAAAGTAAAGTAAGTATGGGATGGGATTCGAACCTGGAATCCATGAATTAAAACCGTAGTGTCTTCAACCATTAAGATATCATTTGTTCATCAGATATGAAATAAGCTAGTGTACAAATTCATTGAATCCATTCAAATGATTAGACATAATGGACTGGTTCGATGAAATACTTCAATCTCAGTGAAACTATAATATATAGACGATCTTTGAGCGACGTCAAAGTGATCTTGAAAGGGTCTACCTACTTAATAGGGCTAAATGAAGATTATTAAGCAGTTTGAGGAATATAGGTAATGACTTACAACTGATGTTAAGGGTTAGAATTTAGATTTAAGGTTTTCATTGCGAACCGATATCAACTTAAATGCCAAGATGCTATTTGGACGAATGTATGAGTGAATTTCACATTAAAATCCAAGACCTGTTATCTTAAATCTGATTGGTTCGTACATAAATCAAAGCCTCGCCATCAAATCAGTATGAATGCAATCCTTGTTGTGAATCAGTGTGTTCTAATTTTGTAAACTATTGATATGATGATTACTCGGATTCAGTTTTTTGTATTTACTCAAATTAAAAACCATAAATAACCTTGAAATATTTAATGATGATACATTTATACTTGAATACGTTTAGACATCGACTTCCAAGTGTGATGTGTGCTATTGATGTTGACAGATATAAGTAGTATATATCACCAATAGAAAGTGGCATGCTTAACAGCAGAAGATTAAGAATATCAAAGAGAAGAGAACGAGAACAACGAAGAATCGTTGTGAAAATGAAGGAACAATAAAGATTGAGACAATTGAATGACATTTTTCAAATGAAGTATTTAGTGTATTGTTCTCAGATTTTACTAAGATGTTGTGTAATTTTGCGTCTCCACTTGTGATCTCGTTCACTACAGTTTCAGTTGGATACCGGCCCAGTAGTTTAGTGGTCAGGGATTTGCGTACAAGATTAAAGATCCTGGGTTATATTTGGAGATTCGGAGTCGTAGATACATACTGATGAGGAGTCCGATAATAGGGTGAAACGTCCAAATGCAGCTTTCAGATTATCAATGGTTATCTAGCTAAGATCAGTCCATTATTTAGAAAATCATTTAATCCTACAGGTGCATAATTAAAACAGAAAACTGACTGAATCAACTAAGTATAATAATTCAATTAATTGATTTATGTTTATCAGAAGAGAGTTTCATGGAAATCTTAATAATTAAATAGTTGAATTCATGAATTAATTGACACTAGGTTACCACGAAAAACCCGGAAGCACTGGACGGTCGTTTCATCCTAGTATGGAACTCTTCAGCAGTGCACCCTCACGATCCCGCTAGCTGCATTCAAACACGGGACCTTTGGTATCGCACTCAGTGGTTTAGAAGTTAAACGTTCGCGAGCGACATCTATAGATCCTGGGTCTGAATTTTGCGTGCAAGGTCGTGGATGCGTACTGTTGTGAAGTTCTATACGGCCGTTCAGTACTGCCAGGTTTTCCATGGTGATCTAGCTTGATATACAGTAGTCTTGAGTGCTGTTAGAGGTATGAGGGTGGTTATCACTTTCCGGTTGCCCACACCGTGGAAGGGTTCTTTTAGAGGTATTTGAAAAGGAAGTAGGATTAGAGGTGGTCTTAGTGACCTGATAGCGTGACCGCAGTGACCAAGGAACAACTGCTTGAGGTCGGTCACACACGACTTTTTTTGCGGGTAATTTCCATGTTAGCTTCGGTTTCCCACGATCTCTAGTCAACCTGAATGGCGAGTTAATGTAGGTCCTCCGTCCCTTTACGAAGTTGAAAAAGCCATAGGAAATCTGAAACGAGGGAGAGCAGCAGGCCCTGACAGGTTTACTCCTGAGATTTTTAAGGATGGTGGTCCAGTATTAGCAATGAGATTAACCGAGGTCTTAGGTAGAATTTGGGAACTAGACGTAATCCCATCTGACTGGTCTCAATCACTGATTGTGCCAGTCTATAAGAAAGGACAAAAGTCCTCTTGTGACAATCACAGAGGAATCAGTTTGACTAATATAGTGTCTAAAATATTAGCTTCAGTAATACTTCGACGCCTAATCAAAGCTCGTGAAGAGCAGATTAGAGAAAACCAGGCCGGTTTTCGACCTGGACGTGGTTGTATAGATCAGATATTCACACTACGTCAGCTTCTAGAACACAGACACCCATTCAGACGTCCCACAATGGTAGTATTTCTCGACTTTAAGGCGGCATTCGACTCTGTTGATCGTGAGGTTCTATGGCAGTGTTTGTCACTGAAAGGAGTACCAAAGAAGTACATTAACCTTATAAAGGCTCGCTACTCGAACACAATTGGTAGAGTGAGAGCTTATGTTGAACTGTCATCAGAATTGATTACCTCAAGTGGTGTTCGTCAGGGCTGTCCACTCTCCCCATTCTTGTTCAACTTTGTGGTCGACGTACTTTTAGAGATAACACTCTCCTCATCTAAATTTCCTGGGGTTGAACTTCTACCGGGAGATTCACTTGTTGACTTAGAATATGCAGATGACATCGTTTTATTTGGTGAAGACGCTGACAAAATGCAGAGTCTTCTGACCACTCTAAGCAACAATGCAAGCATGTTCGGGATGCGATTGTCTCCCTCGAAATGCAAAATGTTGCTTCAGGATTGGGTTACATCGACACCCGAACTAGTGATAGGGAGTGAAGTAGTTGAGTGTGTCGACCGCTTCACTTATCTTGAAAGTCTCATCAGCCCTTGTGGTTTGGTGTGTGACGAAATCTCAGCACGGATACAGAAGGCTCGACTAGCTTTTGCCAACTTGCGTCATTTATGGCGTAGGCGAGATATCCGTCTATCAACCAAAGGACACGTTTACTGCGCAGCAGTTCGTTCCGTCCTTCTTTATGGCAGTGAAACATGGCCGGTAAGAGTAGAGGATATTCGTAGGTTACTAGTATTCGATCATAGGTGTCTTCGAAACATTGCTCGTATATCCTGGGACCATCGAGTAAGTAACACAGTTGTTAGGGATCGGGTACTAGGTAAGGATGGCAAATCAATTGATGAAGTAGTGAAACTTCATCGGTTGAGATAGCTGGGACACGTGTTACGTATGCCCAACGACCGACTGCCTCGACGTGCTATGTTCAGTGGTATAGGAGTAGGTTGGAAGAAAGCTAGGGGCGGCCGAACCAAAACATGGCACAAGTCCATGAAGTCACTGACAAGTGAACTGAGTCATGTTGGTAAGTGTAGACTACCTGGTTGGGGACCACGAGATGATAGCAACTGATGGTTAGAGACCTTGAATGACGTGGCTCAAAATCGTTTGCAATGGCGCAGGTGCATCCACTCTTTGTGTTCTCCCAAGTTCTAATCTTCTGAATTCTTCATGTCCCTTTTTTCCTCTTTCCAAATTTATTTCACTGGATTATACTCTTTAAATAACATCTCCAAACCCTAATCTTCCCGATTACTGCTTATACTCTTATTACCTCTACCACTACGGGATTTGAATCGACAAATGCATCTCTGTGCTAATGTGGTGTGGCAACTCGAACTGATGTACGTACGTACGATGTTCTACGTTGTTACTGACTGACCATGTTAGCTCCGTACTTGTTTAGACCTTACCGCCGGAGACGGATATCCGTGGGATAAGGCGAGATGTGTATTTCTAGGGTCAACCTTTTCTACCCCCACCCCTCCTTGTGGGAAGGCAGCATCGCTGTCATGCTGGTTGTTTGAAGGAGACACCTTACTCTCGTCACACCTCTGTACAGTCAGCAGTACGGCTTCACCTTCAGACCTTATGTTTGTTGCTTTTAGTCTTACCGCTATTTAATCGACCTGTCTGACATGGTAGAACCTTGAGAAACGATTGTTGCAGCCAGTATAGCTCGATCGCTTCATCACGATAGGTAAGCCCGACCACCGCGTCAAGGTAGCAGCAACAGTCGGGGATCTAGCTTCCATCAATTTATGAATTCAACTATTTGATCTATATTTCATTGATTATTCACTGATTTCATCTTTTTAAATTTCTTTTTAGCTGTACAAAAAGAACGTGATAAAATAAGTAATCGTCATACAACTTATGATCCTAATTCATCAATGCATTCAAGTATAGATTTACAAAAATTATTACAAGCTGAAGCAATAGCTAATTGTGTACGTCCTATTGTGATAGTGTTTACATTGTTTTCAATGTTCAATGTATGAAATGTGTGTGTGTTTTTTGAAGTTTCCTTGTTGCCATGTATCATATTTATGACAGTAATAATCAGTAAGAAAGTATGAGAATTTATGTTTTATAAGCAATGATGGATAGTGGCTAGCAGTGGAATCCAGGATGGGCGCTTCGTCCTATTTGGGACTCGTCAGCTGGATGTACCTGCATATCAGTTGTTCACTCTGTGACTCGAACCCAGTAACATTCGTTTCAAACGCTATCGCGTTATCCATTCAGCTACTGAGTCATGATAACCACATGATTATGCAATGGGGTGGATTTAAATTCACTTGGTATTGTTTGGTTTCTATCTCCCCATTTCAAAAAATGGGCAATATCAAGGCATACGCACAGTATGCACATATGCCAATAACAGACTGATCAATTGCAGTCTTAAAAAAACACTCAATGGGGAGATACAAGCTAAACAACACCAAGTGAATTTATGTTTTATGTTTATTATATTTTTACTAATATACGGTTATGCCCATATCACAAGGCCTCATCGAGTGAGTTGTGAAGATTGTTGGTTCTTATTGAAATTACAAACTGATTCAAGTTAGATGACTAATAAGAAAATGCGGAAGTACTGAACAGTCGTTTCATTCTTATCTGAAACTTCTAAGTAGCGCTCATCTGTAACTTCTAATAAAAAGCCATGATCGTTAGAGTTTAGTTTTGTCAAGTGGGAAAAAAGTTACCAATGGATTTCAGCTCAGTTTAGAGGTTTAAGGGTTAAATGTTTGAGTGGATGACAAAAGATCCTGAGTTTCATTTTCGATTTCACGGTCGTAGATCAATACTGTTGAGATGTTATGTATTGATGTGAGATAGCTATCCATTGCTTTCAGATCTTCAATGGTTGTCTAAATTAGAGTGTTATCTGATTTCAATAGTCTTATATATTTGTTACAAACATTTACGTACATAGCAACAAGAATATCTCGGTTGTTTCAAAAAGAACCTTCAGAGTTTGTTATTCATACTTTTGTTATGGATTGAAATTTTAACTTCGATCCAATCTTATTTGGAAGAGAAAAAGAAAAATCAGTTCGTTAGAATGACAGATGTACCATACAAAGTCTAAAAACTGTTCAGTTGTCTCAGTCATAGCATATGATCACTAGTGATTGACTTCAAGAAGTATGTCCTGCGATTCTAGTGGAAAGCAGTGACCAGTGGAGTTCTGTCGGGTCTGTTGTGGGATGGCAGTTCACTGAAGACAATGATGGACGGTGGCTTAGTTTCGTGGATTATATGAAGTTAGATATTAACACCGATAGATGCCGGCCAATTCAGTAATCTAGAGGTTAGGCATTCATGCGTGAAACTGGTAGGTCCTGTGTTCGAATCTCACGAGATGGGGTCGTGTATGCACACTGTTAAAGAGTCCCATAATAGGACGAAACGACCGTCTTGTGCTTCCAAGTTTCCCATGGTGGTCTAGCTTCAATTGATTCATGATCTTAACTAGTAAAATCACTATAAGATCCACAAAACCCCTTCTGATATCAATCATAATTGGCTCTAATTAATACTGAGTAGTCTGGTTTACAGTCATATTTTTTCATAGATAATCTTCTATAAAAAGTGGTCATAAAAACTGAGGGTTACTTATGATTATACATCCTAAGTGAATTATTATTTGGTCATAGTTTATTATTACAGATACCGAATTGAAATTCAATTGTGAATGCCCACTATTTAGATGTAAGTATATTCAGTTGAAGAGTCTTAAATGAGACGAAACACATGTCTTTGATCAAACTGATAACTAATGAAAAATACAATTTAAAAATTTAAAATGAATTACCTTATTCAATTATACGAATGATGGTTTTTTGGAGATTGTAGTCATCTTAATAGTTGAATTTATGAGTCAATTAAAGCTAGACCACTATGGAAAACCTGGAAGCACTGAACTACCATTTCATCCTCAACAATGCGCATCCACGATTAAGTGTTCGCAAACGAGATCGATAGGTCCTGTGTTCGAGTCCCGCTTGCGAGGTTGTAGATGTGCACTGTTAAGGAGTCCCATACTAGGAAAAATAGGTCGTCCAGTGCTTCCAGGTTTTCCATGATCTTCTAGCAGCTTCAATTGTCTCATGAATTCAACTATTAAATTACTATAAGTAGGGATTTTGTGGATATTATAGTAATTTTAATAATTGAGATCATGAGTAAATTAAAACCTTGGTACGGCCGAGAGTGAGGTGGGCCCGCCCTCCCTCTCGAAATGCTCTCACACGGTCACGCGTATACAGCCTCTGCCAGGGAAGTCCTACTCACTGCCTTCTCGTGGCGAAGATGTTGTTCACAAAATTGAGAGGATGAAAAGCGAATGTCCGGTGGGGGCTTGAACCAGGTTGGTGGATATAGAGAGTCCACATAGGGGAGTTGGAAAACCCTTATTCCAAATCAATGGAACACATGGTCTCCAACATTCTGAAGGAACAGATGGCGTATGAACCAATCGTTGGTCACCAGATACCATGTGACTGCACCTACTTACGATGCTCCACTGCCTTGTGGATCAGGTCTTTAGGTCGAAGGCTCTAGGTGTTGCCCCTTAAGAAAACCACCTGCTTCGGTTTGGGCACCCGAGCAGTATCACAGCCTTCACACATATCAAATGAGATTTGTGTGGCGCATATGTATTTGATGCCTCCTTGTACAAATATATATGTGTTAAAATAAAATAAAATAAATAAATAAATAAAGCTAGATCATCAGGGAAACCTTGAAAACACTAGATAGCCGTTTTGTCTTACGATGGGACTTCTCAACAATGTACATCCACAATCCCACAGGCATAACACGAACCCAAGACTAATCAGTTTCATATGTGAACACTTAATCATGGATGCACATTGCTGAGGAGTCTCACAGTAGGACGAAACCGTCGTACAGTACTTCTAGGTTTTGCCATGATAATCTAACTATTCAATTATATGAATCAATCCATAATCATTTCTCAATAGATTATTTTTCTTCCTTTTTCTATTGATAGGCAATTCATCAAAATTATATTAATATCACTAAAAGATCATCAGATTTATATAATGAACAATCAAATTATAAAGAATTGCATGAAAATAATTTAGCTAATATTAATGATATTTGTGAATCAATACGTACTCAATTAATATTTTTAATTGAATGGGCTAAAAATCTATCCGTATTCACATCATTAACAATCAGTGATCAAGTAAGTATGATTACAGATCAAAATGTACTTACTTACGCCTGTTATTCTCAATGGAGGAGCATAGACTGCTGACAAGTATTCTCTAATCTACTCTGTCTTGAACCTTCCTTTCTAGTTCTATACAATTGTTGTTCATTCTTCTCATGTCTGTCTCCATTACTCGTGGTCTTCCTCTCCTTCTTTGGTCTTTAGGACTCCATGTGAGGGATTGCCATGTGACGAAGTTGGGTGGTTTCCTCAATGTTTGTGTCATCCACTTCTAGCGCTTCTTCCTGATTCCTTCATCCACTTCAATCTGGTTTGTTCTTTCCCACAATAGGTTGTTGTTCATAGTGCCTGGCCAACGGATCAAAAGTATCTTGAGTAGACAACTTTTAATAAACACCTGTATCTTCTGGATGATAGATTTCGTAGTTCTCGTAGTTTCTGCCCCATACAGTGGAACTGTCTTGACATTTGTATTAAAAATTCTGACTTCGGTGTTGGTTGACAGACAATTGTTTTGAGTTCCAGATGTTCTTCAGTTGTACATATATTGCTCTTGTTTTGCCCATCCGCGCCTTCACATTTGCATCAGATCATCTGTGTTCATCAATGATGATGTCCAGTTATGTAAAGGTTTTGACATCTTCCACATGTAGACCAAACTATTACAAAAAAAATTTATAAAAGTAATATTTGAATTGATTAGGAATATAATAGCTGAATTGATGAGCCGACTAATGCTAGATCATCATGGAAAACCTGGAAGTACTGGATGGCCGTTTCATCTTATTATGGGACTCGTCAGCAATGCGCATACACGATCCTGCCTTGCCGAGTTCGAAACCTGGACCATGTTTTTCATTGTGGTTTAGCTTTAATCAATCGATGAATTCAGTTGTTAAATTACTACAATCTCCATAATACCCCTTTCTCATAAAAATCATTTGCACACTGGTGACTTGCTTCAAGGGGTATTTTCTGTAGTTCTACTGAGAAGCAGTGACCAGTGGAGTTCAGCCGTGTCTTTTGTAGAGGAAGTTTATTCTAGTGAAGACAATGGTGGACGGTTGCGCAATTTCATAGGTCGGTTGAAATTATACATTAACACCGTTGGATGTCGGCCGACTCAGTCGTATAGAGCTTAAGCGTTTGAGCGCGAGACAGAGGGCTGTGGGTTCGAGTCCTGTGTGAGGAATCATAAATGCTCATCAGTGAGGAGTCTGATTCTAAGATGGAACGGCCGTCTAATATTTCAAGATTTTCCATGGTGATCCTGCTTCGATAGACTCATGGATTCAACTATTAAATAACTTCATAGGATTACCATTTGAACTGATAAAGAATAACTGATGCGTATATTTGTATTACCAGAGAACGATTTGATTAAATTATTGCAACTTGGTGGAGTGACAAGAAATTGACTATTCAGGATTTCAATGTTAACGGTTGAGATCATGAGTCGACTGAAGCTAGACCATGATGAAAAATCTGGAAGCACTAGACGGCTGTTTCGTTCTACTGTGGGACCCATGGGCAGTAAGCATCCACGATCCCGCTTTGCGAGATTCTAACCCAGGATCTATCAGTCTCGCACACGAGCACCTAACCTCTCAACCACTGAGCCATTTTAGTCGTCTTAGTACATTCATGTTATAATTCGTTACTAACTTATTAAGTCTATTGTTAATATTCGTATTACGTAATCTAGTATTATAATCTATCTATTACTGCATCGTCTTGGTTATTCCTTATTCCCATTTCCTTACGGCACTAGTAGTTTAGCGAAAAAAATTTCAGATATATACGATTGTACAGCATGATAATAAATTCATTATCAGAAGGGGAGTTTCTTGAGATTTTAGTAATTAAATAGTTGAATTTATGATTCAATTAAAGCTAGATCACCATGGAAATCCTAGAAGCACGAAACGGCCATTTCGTCCTAATATGAAACTCCACAGCAGTGTACATCCGCGATCCCTCCCAACATCATTCGAAAAGAGATCCTTTCGTTGAATTTCACATGTTTTTTTAATATTTAATGATTAATCAATGAAAATAGAACATTATTAAATATTCTATGATAAATTAGAAGAGACTATAATTTATGGACGATCTTTGAACGACGGTAGAGTGACCTTGAAAGTATCTACCTAATAACCAGGACCAAATGAGGGTTATAAAACTGTGTGAAGAAATGGAATGATGATATACAGTTGATGACTGTTATGTTTCGATAAACATAATGAATGGTAACTTTGGGAACCATTTATGGATCAATACTATACGTATATTTTTATCGTATCATTGTTAAATAACTTAACTATTCATATTTATATTCCTCTTATTATAAACTTTGTTTTGACCTATGAACCAGTATTATTCCTTGTCTATTAGTCATTGCCCCCCTTGTTCACAGCCACATTTGACCAAATGTTGTACAAATGTTATTTTCTATTTAATGGTACGTTGTGGTCTGTTTAATTGGTACATAAACTCAGTGTGTTTGAAATATAGTGGGATTCATATCGCCAGGGGCTCGAATTGGTGTTCTGAACTGAACTGGCTGGGTTAGACAGGAAGAGGAACCAATAAGGACAATAGGCTACTCATATAAGTTTACGCGTCACTGATCCGATCGATAAGTCACCGCGCCTCTCTCTCTCTCTCTCTCATCACGTTATACATTCACAGGGCATACAGGCTACAAGTTATAACAATGACTAAGGTTCAAAATTAGATTTAGGATGTTTCATCACGAACTGATATCAGTTATCATGCCAAAACTCTATTTGTGATTTTATTCCCGTTGGTAGGTGATCGACCATAGATTCTCTTTGTGAAAGATTTCTTTCTACATTGTTTATGTGTAGTTTTAATGAATCTGTTTGGTTGAGTGCATACCGTTTAAAGGTTTTAGACTCCTGAAACTCTATTTATCCAAATGAATGAGTGAAGTTGGCGCCAAAAACCCGAAACCTGTTATCATATACACTTGATTGGTTTATCCATAAATTCTAATGAATAATTCTTTTTTTTAAAATTTCTTTGAATAGATTGCATTATTACAAGCACATGCTGGTGAAATGCTTATTCTTGGTGCTATATGGCGATCAATTACATTAGGACCAACATTGAATAAATCAAATGAATATAAAATAGAAAAATCAAAATATTTTGAACAAAAAATTAATGGAAATGATAATACATCTATCAATGATACTATAAATGATAGAACTATTACCTTGGATTCAAATGTTGTTGCTATGGTTACTACTACTACTACTCGGGCTACGGCGACGACGACGACAACTACATTAACGCATTCATGGAATACTACTGTTACTACAACAACAACAACAACAACAACTACTACTACTACTACACCAACGACTAATAATGGAAATAGTAATAATAATGGAGATCAGTCCATACAAAAGAATCAAATCATTGATAATACAATAGATACTACTTATTTACAATCTATTAATTATGAACCACAATTTATTTTATTAGGTAATAATCGTATTATATCAAGACAAAATCCATTACCAGAAATAGCTGATTTAGCTAATATGATTATTAATGAAATCTATCAACCAATACAAAATTTATGCTTAGATGAAATTGAAATTGTTTGTTTTAGAGCAATAATGTTTTTTGATCCAAGTATGTAAGAATAATGTTGAATAGATTGATTTTATTATTATTATTATGTTTTCTTTTGTATGTTCAAAGATCATGAGTCAATTGAAGCTAGACGACTATGGGAAACCTGGAAGTACTAGATGGTTGTTTCGTCCTATTGTGGAACTCCTCAGTAGTGAACATTTACGATCCCACCTCGCGAGATTCAAACCTAGTACCTATTGGTCTCGCGCACAAGTGCTTAATCTCTAGACCACTGAGCTGGCTGGTATCCAACGGTGTTAATATTTAACTTCAACTAATTCACGAAATTGAGCCAGCGTCCACCATTGTCTTCAGTGAGTTGCCATCTCACAACAGACCCGGTTGAAGTCAACTGGTCATTGCTTCTCATTAGAACTCCAGGATATACCTCTTGAAACCACGTTACTAGTGAGCATATGTTGATTAGTATTAGAAGGTGTTTTGTAAATATTTTAGTAATCCTATATTTGAATTCATGAGTCAATTGAAGCTAGACTACCATGGAAAACCTGGAAGCACTGGACGGTTGTTTCATCTCAATATGGGACTTCTTAGTAGTGCGCATCCACGATTTCGCTCGCGAGATTCGAACATTAGACAATAATGAAAATTGTGTTTACAAAAGAATTTAACTTATACATTTAGATAGACTTTTGTTCTGTACAATTGCACACTTGTCAGGAAGGGATATCTGAAATCTCGAGGAAACTTATTGTCTATTTGGGATGTACACTTAGATCATTCAGTTTCTTATTCAATAAAAATTAATTCTAAGCTAATTTATATCAGTAGGGGTTTTGTGAATATTATCGTAAGTCAATTGAAGTTAGACCACCATGAGAAACCTAGAAGCACTGAACGGCCATTTCATTCTATTATGAGACTCCTCAGAAGTGCACTAATTTGTTATCGATTGTTCCGTTATAGAACTAAGATATTTAAGTACATTAATTAATAAACACAGACTAATAGTATACTTCACTACTCCTATTACAATCTATCAAGTTTGATCAATCACTCATTTATTTCTATTATATCCGGACGAAGAATAAGTAAATGATAACTGCTAGGATCTATTTATGGACTATTATTACATGAATATTCATATTCCTTTTATTATAAGCTTCCATTTGATCTATTGGCTATTATTATATGATTTACTATTCTTAAGTTACTTCCAATTTATCAGTAATAGTCTCTCACATTCAAATACATGGTTATTATAGCAGACGATAATATTAATGTTCTGGACTGAACCGGTTGAGTAAGGCGAGAAGCTACTATCTTGGAGGACACAGACTTGACACTAAACTGCTCGTACTGGTTTATGCGTCATTAGTCTATTCAATAAGTTGGTGCTCTAATTGGAGATCATATTACATGATATATATTCGCAGGGCATAAGGGCATAACATAATCCACTGTTTATGGTGCCACTAATGCTGCGATAAACGGGAAAACCAGTTGGGTCAATCAACAGAACATTACAGAATATCTTGGTAAAATCTGAGAACCATACAAAATATTAATCAATTGTCTTACAATTTGTTGTTTCTTCGTTTCCACAGCAATCACTCTCTGTTCTTATTCTCTTCTCTTAAATCTTCTTAACATTCTGACTCCAGGCATTTCACTTTCTATTGGTGATATATACTACTTATACCTGTCGATATCAGTAGCACTGCACTACACTTATATGAATATAATTAGTAAACTTGTCTAAAATAAGACAATAGGCAGGAGAAATGTTTGTTTACTTTATGAAGTTACAAATTATTTACATAATAAACATATATAGCCTTCAATTGTCCATTTTCATCTTTCGGTGTATTCTACCATTTGAACTACCCTCTTGTCTGGTCTTCAAATGTATTACTAACTCCATGTTTTCAATACACTGAAACTCTTCACTCCTGAGCTGAGTGGTTTGGTCGTGGAGCTTCCATCTTCCTTCTGAACGACATCATCAGCACAAACCTCAGGTCGAAGTGAAGTGTTCGAATTTCTTCATATATGGTTCACAGCTTATCCTGTACACCTCGATGTTGACTGGTTCTTGTTGACCTTGAACCTGTCACCGTTTACTTCTTTCTTTTGGTTGTATCTCCCGTTCGTTTATATTTTATTCCTATGTCTGTTCATAATTTTCCTGATTCATTGATAAATTGGATTGATTTCAATATGTTTGTTGATCACTGATTGACCTGAATGCCAAGCTTCTAAGAATTCTCTAGTGTATTTGGAATTACCTCTATCCAAAAGTTCCACATATCTATGAAAACCCCATGACCAAACCATTCATCTCAGAGAAAAAAAAACTCTATCAAGATCATCTATCTGAGCTACAAATCTTCTTCACCAACTTCTCACTCTATTTGAGAATTATAACGACTTCAACGTTATTATTACGTTTGAAGCGATTACGAGTTCACTTAGTCAGCGAACGGAACAAAGACTTGTGACCAAAGACCAACAAACTAACTATTCTGTTGCATTCCAGTCACGCCAACTAGAGAGGGAAGTCAAAGTTCGAACGGAGAAGTATATTCCTCAAAAAGTCAGAAGCACGAGCGTTAAGTACTCTAGACTGGTTGCACAGGTTTTAGGCGTCACTGGTTCGATCGATAATCTACTGCTTTCTAATTGGTGGTATCATTCCAGGGCACACAGGCCACAAATTATAACAATTGGCTACTGGGGATAAAGAACAAAGAACCAATGGCGCAAAGTTAAAACAATTTACTTCCGTCACACACTACTTATAAACAATCTTATGAGTAGTATCCATTACCTCTGTAATTTAAAATTATTTTGTTTATTTGCTTTTTATCAACAAAAAACAAAGGTTGTGAATCATTATCAGAAAATGGACGTTTATTAATACGTAGTTGTCAATATTTAATACAAATGGAATTAATGAATATAATGAATGGTAAATTATATTTACCACAAGGTCGTTTCGGTGCATTATTATTATTAATACCAGAATTTCGATCAGTTACCTATCAAATGATTCATAAATTACAAATTATACATCAAATGGGTTTTACCAAATTAGATGGTTTATTATCAGAGATTTTATTGAATAGTAAGTAATGATTTCTATTTATTTATTTATTTATTTAAACACTTGAACATTGATACAAGGAGGTATCAAACAGATATGCACTATACAAGTTACTTGATTTGTGTGTAGGATGTGATACTTTCCTGACGACTAGATCGAAGCAGGTGATTATCTTAAGGGATCACACCTGGAGCCCTTGACTTAAAGGTCTGATCCACAAGGCAGTGGAACATCGTAAGGAGATGCAGTCCTATGGTAGCTGGTGACCAACAATTGGTTCATACGCCATTGGTTCCATCAGGATCTTGTAGCTCATGTGTACCATTGGTTTGGAATGAGGGTTTTTTAACCCCCCTATGTGAGTCCTCCATATCCACCAACCCAGTTTAAGCCCCCACCGGACATTCGCTTTTCATCTTCTCAATTTCGTAAACAACACTCGTGGTGCTGTGATGTATGCTACTTTTATTGACATAAGTAGTATATAATACGAGTCAGAAATATAATATCTGGCAGCAGAAGATTGATATAAACGATTGTCCTCACCTATGTTCTCCTTCGTTACAGTGCGAGAAGGCAGTGAGCAGGACTTCCCTGTCAGTGATTGTATGCATATGTTCATGTGAGAGAGAGAGTTGACTCTCCCCACTCTCGTCCGTACCAAGGCATTCGATTTGTCATTGTATAACAGTTGTTTGTTTAATACTCAATTGAATTTGGTATAAATTGATGTGTTTCTACGTACTTTTTATTATGTTTCTTTTTTAAGATTTTGATGTTTCTTTCAGTAAGCATCATCATAGTTATCTATATTCATTGTTATATTTAATGAAATATTAAGGTGTTTAATTGTAAGTTGAAATTGTTATGGTGTGTAATACTTGCGTTGATATAAGTAGATATAACACTTGTCAAGAATAGAATGTCCTATTCCTCCATGAGCGTAACACTTATCATTCCTTGTATAATTCAATCATATTGTAGCTATCTCACGCTGCAACTCCTCAATCTTCTTTTCGTCACTGTTTACCTCCTGATTTTCACACCCGACTGGAGATATTGTTCGGGTCATCGAATGTCGGATTACTTTAGTCAGTTTACTGATATCCATAGGTTGTGCAGCGTTTACTAGTTTTAGCTGCTAACAAAAAGTGACAGGAATGGTCTCGATAAACTACGACGCCAACAACTGTGTCTCCAACTCTTCCTCCAGATTCGGCAACGCGCATTGCAACAACCTGGTAAGCTCCACAGCCAGCACCAGTAGGTCAACATCAATCGTCATTTTTGCGGTCAGAACTTCTGCAGTGCTTCTTCCTTCTCCACTGGGCTGTCGAGCTCCGTGACCAACCGCTCCATGACTGTCTCCCATAACGCCTTTCCTCCAGCACCGTCCAAACTGTCACATACCTCCTTCACCCTGCCCCTCAGCAGTGTCCATAGCACCACCATCTTCACCTTGGGCTACTTCACTTCCACTAGCTCCGCCATGGCCTCAAACTCCTTAAGAAATCTCAGCAAATCTTCGTCCTGAAATTTCTTCCGTCATGGAACCTTCATCCTTAGTGGAGGCAGCGATCCCAAATGTAATGAAGACAGTTGTCAGGTAAAGCTGATACCCTACTCTTTTTTCTGTTGGTTGACTAGATTATGAAGACCACGATATCTGAGGAGAAGTATTGAATAAAAAATGGACAGCTTGGATGCAATCAAACAATTTAGACCTTGCAAATAACCTAATTTTTCTATCCCATACACAGGAACTAATGCATATGTAGATAGACTGTGTACCAAAAGCCTCTGCATCAGTAAGCATCAACATACACAAAGGTAAAATCAAGATCCTAAAGTACAGCACAAAGAGCATAACCCAATCACAGCTGATGGAGACGATCTGGAAGAGGTGGAAAGGTGTTAGTACCTTGGCAACATCATTGGTAAACAAATGGAATCCGATGCAGAAGTGAGGGCAAAGATTGACAAAGTGGGGACTACATTCCTACAACTGAAGAATATAGGGGACTCAAAGTAACTGTTCGCGAGTCAAAATCAAAGTCAAAATCTTCAATACGAACGTCAAATTAGTCATACTGTACGGGGCGGAAACTTTGACAACTACTGCAACCATCAAAAAGTACAGTTATTTATAAACAAATTTCTACACAAGATACTCAACATCCATCCAAGTTTCAAATGAAGAAGAAATTATAGAAAGACACTGAAGGTGTGTAGGACATACATTGTGTAAATCATCAAACTGAGTCACGAGGCAAGCATCATTTTGGGAAGAATCGTGATGGGCGGCCTATGCTTCTCCACGACGGGTAACGGGTGTTACAGAGTACGTAAGTAGATGGATATTACCAAGGTCACTCAAACATCCCTCAAATATCATCCACAAATTTTATACTCACCGATTTATCTTCTCTAGTAATCACGTTCTTTGATATACAACATACTGATTTCAAAATATTTTACGGAGTGTATATCTACTTGTTGCATCATAAGGCAAACCCTAACTTGAAATCCTGAAAGGAAATGGAAAAGAGTAAGACCAAAGAACACATTACGTTGAGAAATGGAGGCAGATATGAAAACGATGAATAACAACAACTGTAAAGAACTAGGAAGAATTGCACAGGACAGGCTTGGATAGAGAGCAGCCTATTGGGCAGCCTATACTTCTCCACAAGAAGTAACAAGCATAATTAATATCTAATTTGTTAGGGTGATCCGACGAATTTCTTGCAAAAGACATGCAAGGATGAGGAAACACTAAGAAGCGTTTCATCCAATCAACGTTTACTTGAAGTTTTAGCCAAAAATATCAAGGAAGCGAAACGTCTAATGCAGAGGCTCTGATTGTCTGGCTGCTACACTGCTACTATGTTTAGTAGCATTACAGAATCTTATAGCAACCCAAGGACATTTAAAATATTATAAAAACCCTGTATTTTCTGTATTAAAATAAACCTTGGAGTAAACTAGTTCTCGCATAGTTTAAGTCTTCTCTGTCATGTTCAGGTCGGTGTCTAGTTCTAGCTTGGGGGTTACAGAATAGCTTAGGAGACGAATATAGTGTTCAATCCTCAAGACTTATCATAATTGTATTCTTATTTTACTGTTAGAATAGTAATCTCATCTACAGTATCTTTTATTTCTTAAGCAAACTTTTTCTTTCCCTTATTGTTGTTAATAATATAGATACAATAAATGAATCAAATGGTAATATTGAATCCAATCAAGTAAAATCATCTATGAAACATTCATTCAATAAATATATAGTTCATGAAGAGAATAATAAATCACCAACAATCTATTCAATGCCTAAATTATATTCAACACATAATGATGATATTTATACTTCACAAATTACTGAAACATCTACATCTTTCACCTCCTCCTCTTCCTCCTCTTCCGCTTCTGCCGCCTCTTCCACTTCTTCATCTGGATCTTCATTATCATTATCAACTGTATCATCAATGACACATATTATTAATAATATACCAATCATACATGAAATAGATGATACATTAAATGAACAATTAACGAATATCAATCATTATTTACCTATCAACTCATCTACAATAACAACACAATTACATAAAATGTATCCTACAACCATAGATACAACTATATCTATGATAAAACAAACAAATATTGAAACGAATTCATTCAATTATCCTATAATACAATCTGAATTAGGATCTATTCCATCAATTCATGTATCTAATGTATTAGATTATTATTATTATTATGATAATAACAATATTAATCATAATCATAATAATAATGATCATTGTATTACAGAGAAACAATCGAATATTGATACATTAACACAATATTGTCAGGCGGTTCAACCAATTATGAGTACAGTAAAAAAATTTAGCGCCAATTTCGATATCAGTAGCCATAGCAACAATAATAATCATAATGTTAATAATAATGATGTCAATCAATCACTTATCACAATGCATTGTAAGTTTTATTTGCTTTTACTTTACTGAATGGATTCTTTTTTTTCTATTACCGAATTTGTTTGAATTATATTGTTCAATGTTTCAATGTTTATATCATCTCTCGATATCAACTTCATTCACTATGAGAAAGTATTTGATAACGTGAACAAGCCAATACTATGAAGGTTTCTTCAATACTATAGCGTAACTGAGAAGATAGTCAATATCATACGGAATTTCTATGATGGGTTAAACTGAAAAATGGTTTATGGAGGACGATTGATAAACTCATTCGAAGGAAAGACCGATGTCACACAAGGTTGCTTACCCTCACCGTTTTTCTTTCTCCTGGTGATCGATTATATTATGAAGACATCAACATCTGAGGGGAAGCATAGGATACAGCGGACAGCTAGGATGTAGCTGGACTATCTACACTTCACAGATGATCTGGCTCTTCTATCGTACACACAACTACAAATGCAGGAGAAGACGACCAGTGTAGCAGCAGCCTCACCAACAGTACGTCTCAACATACACAAAGGGAAAAGCGAAATTCTCCGACACATTACAACATGCAACAATTGAATCACACTTGATGGAGAAGCTTTGGTGAATGTAAAGACCACATATCTGGACATCATCATTGATGAACACGATGGATCTGATGCAAATGTGAAGGTGGGGATCGGCAAAGCAAGATCAACATATATACAAATGAAGAACATATGGAACTCAAAACAACTATCTGTCAACCAACACCAAAATCAGAATTTTCAATACAAATGTCAAGACAGTTCTACTGTGTGTGGGGGGGGAAACTTCGAGAACTACGAAAGCTACCATCCAGAAAATAAGTGTTTATTAACATCTGTCTACGCAAGATACTTCGGATTTGTTGGTCAGGCACTATGAGCAACAAGCTATTGTGGGAGAGAACAAACCAGATTGCAGTGGGGGAAGAAATCAGGAAGTAGTGCTGGAATTGGATGGGACACATATTGAGGAAAGCACCCAACTGCGCCATTAACGCAAGCCCTCACTTGGAATCCTGAAGGCCAAATGAGAATAGGAAGACCAAAGAACACATTACCCCGAGAAATGGAGACAGACATGAGAAGAATAAACAACAATTGTATAGAACTAGAAAAGAAGGCCCATGACAGAGTGGGTTGGAGAATGCTGGCTGGTGGTCTATCGTCCATTGGGAGTAACAGGCGTAAGTAAGTAAGTTTCAATGTTTATATCACAGTTGGATGCAATTTAAAAACGATTCATTACTTTGTTTTATAAGTAGGTCTCAGTATATTAATCAAGTTGATTGAATTAAAGGAAACCTATTTTGAGAGTCATTTAAATATTAGTATAGGTTAAATGTTCGTATGCGAGGCCGAAAGTCTTCCGTTCAAGTCTCATGTATGGGATGGTCGATGAGCATTGATGAGGAGTCTCATACTAGGACAACATAGTCGTTCAATGATCACAGGTTTTCAATGGCCGTCTAACATTGATCCATTATTCATGATACTAATCTAAACTCAATAATTTTAGTGTAAAACGTGTATGGAGTATCATCGATGAACAATTAGGATCAAATCCACTTGAGCGGTCCATGCTCCCCTTCAAGGAGTAACAGGTGTAAATACGTAAGTAAGTAAAACGTGTATATAAAGTCTACAAATCGTGATCAGTGTCAGACAAATTGATGACAAGTACACTGACAACATATTTATGTTTTGTAAATGAAGTGAATTAAATTGCCTTTAAGGTTGATGTGATTTCCACAAAAGTTATATCATTCAATAAATTAGTATTGACATGATCAAATTTGAACTGTATATTGAAAGAGTAGAATTCAGGTTACCAAGACGACTGAATTCCAACGGTCCATAAACGAAATTTGCAACGATCTACAAGATTTAATTCCATCCTATATGCTTTATATTCGTTTGTTCATATAGCTGTGACTGTAGGAAGACCGAGAATTGGCCAGATATATAATTGTCCTTTTGATTCAGTTATTAATATATAGACAGAGATCTTGAGCAGGTGAATAATCGACACCAGCCAATAGTTCATCTCATTTATAATTGCTCACTTACTGTTTGAACTGAAGATGATAAGTAAACACAGATATATATCATGTTTAGGCCATGGAATTAATTAAATCACTGTTGAAATTTGGGTTCATATTTTGTTAAATACCGCGAGACCTGAAAGCCATTCATTAACTCCTGATGAGTTGTAATGCATGGATACTGTTGTTAAGCTTTATACTAGAATAAAATAATTATTCAATGCTTTGTTATCTTCCATAGTATCCCAAATGTAACCAAACATCAATCGGTCCATAATCTTAATCACAAACATAATAATCTCCACAACCCCTATACTGATAATTAACCTGTGCTCACTAGTGACTAGCATCGTGAGGGAATTCTCGAAGTTCTAGTGAGAGGCTGTGACCACTGAAGCTAATCCGTGTCGGGTAGGGACAGGCATCTGCCTCAGTACAATGGGAGATGATCATACGATTTCGTGGATTGGTTGGGTTAGACACTAACACCACTAAATGAAGGTTCAGTGGTCCAGTAGGTTAAGCGTTCGAGAGCGAGACTGAGGGTCCTGGGTTTGAATCTCGCGGGCTGCATCGTGGATGAGCACTGATGAGGACATCGACATTAGGACGAGGCGGCCTATTAGTACTTTCAGGTTTCCAACGGTGGTCTAACATCAATCGGTTCATGATCTCAATCAAAAGCTTAATAATCTCCTATACTGATACTAACACTACAATTGATCATAAATATTTTTCAAATAACTTTTCGCCTACTTAAATTCTTTTTTCAGTAGGTGAAGAAACTTTTGAAAATATTTCAAATTCAGATTATTCAATCAATTCAAATATAATTCATTGTTTACCAAATTTAGAACCTGGTATGTATTATTCAGATGATCAATTCTATACAACTTATTCACATCATTTAAATATGATCAAAGCAAAATATAATCAGAATACTACTATCAATACTACTACTACTCATGATAATAATAATAATAATAGTTCACCAATTTACACTAGTTACGATGGAAAACATTTGACACCAATCGATCATTCTAATCCATCCTATTCCACAAATCACTTCTGATATGTTCAATGGTGAATAAACTTGAATCAGGTTATACATATCTATATATATTTCATTTCTGTAATACAGTTTACATGTACAGTTTACATGGTATTTGTTGTAATCGTATAACAATTACATCTATACAAGATTGTTTTCTTTTCTCAGTTATATTTTTCTCTATTTTTCTTTTCTTTTTTCTTTTTTCTTTATTATCAATATTATTACTTCTTTTTATTTTATTCTTTTAAAATTATGTCGTTTATATATTTAACCTAAAATTATTCTAATTCATATTGCCAATTACTTTTAATATAAAATAATACATGAACGTTGAGTATAAATTTACTACATTGTTATGAATGATCAGTCAAATAGTCAGTCAAACACAACCAAGAAACAGGCACCTATATGCATCAGTTCAAGTTGTTATACCTCATTAGTATAACAAGATGAATTCATAGAAGTAGTTCATTTAATGGTGGCAATATATAAAAGAAAGAATCCATATAAGGATATAGTACAGGAAGAAAGAATTCGGTTGTAGAAAGAAAGATATGCAGCGATTTTAATTGCATAGTTTAGGGGCAGATAAAGAGTGTAAACACCTACGCCATCGTGATTGATTCTGAGCCATGATCACCATTTTCATGTCTGTCTCCATTTCTCGGGGTAATGTGTTCTTTGGTCTTCCTCTCCTTCTTTGGCATTGAGGATTCCATGTGAGGGATTGCCATGTGACGCAGTTGAGTGGTTTCCTCAATGTGTGTGTCATCCACTTCCAGCGCTTCCTCCTGATTTCTTCTTCAACTTTAATCTGGTTTGTTCTCTGTCACAGTGAGTTGTTGCTCATAGTGTCTGGACAACAAATCCGAAGTATTTTGTGTAGACAACTTTTAATAAACACTTTTATCTTCTGGATGGTAGCTTTCGTAGTTCTCGAAGTTTCCCCCCCCCACACACAGTACAACTGTCTTGACATTTGTATTGAAAATTCTGATTTTGGTGTTGGCTGACAGATAGTTGTTTTGAGTTCCATATGTTCTTCAATTGTGGATATGTTGATCTTGCTTTGCCGATCTCCACCTTCACATTTGCATCAGATCCATCGTGTTCATCAATGATGATGTCCAGATATGTGGTCTTTACATCCACCAAAGCTTCTCAGTCAAGTGTGATTCAATTGTTGCATGTTGTAATGTGTCGGAGAATTTCGCTTTTCCCTTTGTGTATGTTGAGACGTACTGTTGGTGAGGCTGCTGCTACACTGGTCGTCTTCTCCTGCGTTTGTTGTTGTGTGTGCAATAGAAAACCTTTAGACTGGTTAACAATTAATTGCATTTATAATTTTAATTAATCTACAATATTGCTCTACTGTGGTTGGTGGTTAACTACCTCATATCCCATATTGCAGAATTCTACCGACCACAAGCTTTCCACAGGAACTCTGGGAATTACCACTCTCTAGCGAGTACATCACTATCATGATTACTAATGAGGGTTTTAGAAGATTGTTACGTTTCATATTTTACATCAAACTGATGATAATCAGTCATTTCGTATTTTCACATGGTTAGCAGTACGATAGAAAATCCTTAGTTTATTGTTTTATAATTTATTCATAGATCAGTAATTATCAACAGAGATGGTTGACGGCTGGCAGTGGAATCCAGGACGCCAGTTTCGCCCAATTTGGGATTAGTCAGATACACGCACCTGCATCCCAGAGTCAGTATCCACATTAGGATACAGTCACATCCAGCTGATGTGTCTAAATAGTTGGTATTTCAGACTTAGGTGATTGTGTAATGTTCAATAAAATAACAGAATTAGCTTTTTGTAGACAGATACTTCCATGAATGGATTAAACAGTATTCCGACAATTGAGTTTCTCTTCAGTCATCAAAACAAACAACTCCGATTCTAGACTTGACAAAAGTGAGAAGAAAGGACAAGGAATAATATACACCAAAGTCGAATCGTAAATACATTCCAAAGTTAGACAACCAGTGAAAACGCGGAAGCACTGGATGGGTGTTCTGTCTTAATATGAGACTCCTCAGAAGTGAGCATACACAACCTAGCAAGTTGAAATCGTACCCGCAACCTTCTGTCTGGCACGCGAATGCTTAATTTCTAGACCACTGGAGTCTAACTTCACACAGTTTTCCAATGCTTCCGGATTCACAATGGTAGTCTAGCAACGATCAGTTCGTGATTGATAATAATAACAAACTGGGACAAAAGTTCCGAAGGTCCCAATATTCATCCACGATTATAACAACATTAGAGGAAGAGTATCAGCAAACAGGAAAAACGCAAAGTCAGTAGATTGAATGGCTTATTCGTTCCAATAACATATTCATATCAATGGTACGATTATGAGATATCTGTCAGATTTTCCTCTCATTTTTATTAACTGATGAATACTTTTCATAAGACACTTGTTTATCATAAATTAATGTTAGTTGTGATATTACTGAAAATCAAGGATCATTGGACAGTTATTTCGTCTAGGCATGGTACTTTCAATCAAACGGAACTAAAGATAGTTCTAGGATTAAGGGTATGATGAAAATACTATCCAGTTGATCATTACAAATCCAGACATTATACTTCAATCAATTATAGATATAGAGTAATGATCAAATAATGGCATTGTTAGTAGTTGTGTCACTCCGGATTACTGAATTTCACCGATAGCAACCTTATAATAGATCTAGAGAACCAAACTCGAAGTCATTTACTAATGAACAAACGTTTATGTAAATGGATTGTAGCTAAAAATGGGATCCAGGATGCAACTTTCGTCCAACTTGAAACTTGTCACCTGGATGTAATTACATTCCAGTGTTGATGTTCATAATTCGGAACTCAAGTCCAATACTTTACGGTTCAAACGCCATACCATGCTTTATGATATTCATATCATTATTAGCAACCGTTCAAATCAGTCAATCGTTAATAAAAAAGACTGGATTTGGATCAGTATTGTTGGCATATGTACGTGTTGTGCGAATTGTATGTATTAAACTATTTCAAAAACCTTTTAGCTATTTGTGAAATAAGGTTTTTTATATACGTTCAGTAACTAGAAGTAAGCAGTTGGCAACAAATTCTGCTCGAGTTGAGTTTCGTGCTAGTTGGCATTCGTCAACAACGCATCCCAGGAATTTTGGTGAAAATGATGGACTTCATAAAAATTGAACTTCAATAGCTCTAACTATACAGTTCATTCGTCCATGGAATCGTGTTCTTAGAGTATTATGATATTTGCAGTTGACTGATCATTGATAAGTGACCAGAGTCACACTTATGAACTCTTTTAGTGTGGACTGAATTCTACCGAACAAGTAGCAGTGTAACCACTAATCTAAACCACTTAAAATTGCAAGAAAAACCAGTCCCCTCCTAATTGCAGGTACACCTTTCTGACAAGTGCTAATTAACACAAAACTCAGGTTGAGCAGAATTACCCGTTAACTACTTCCAGACAACTAGCATTTCAATGTAATGGATGTGATATAAAGTTAATTGGACAGTAACAGTATACTATGGTGTTGTCCTTGACTAGGTCTTTCAGGAATAGGATAGTGCCTCATGGAGTTTTGCACAAAATTAAAAGAGGAGTATGATCTGGCCTGTATGTTATCATGAAGTAAAATAAAATTGTCAGTATTTGGTTTCTAAAATCATTAAAGCTGAGAAAGATGTCTACTATGGAACCAACATGAGAATATAATACGGCAGTTAAGCTAAATTACCTACTCCTAATGCAACTTAATATGATCCAATGCATAGTTAAGAGTGTTAGTGTAATCAAATAGCACTCTATGACTCTAACTACAGACTCTGAATCTAAATCCTAAGTTTGTAAATTCCGTAAACAAAAGGATGACAAGCATCATCACAGATATTCGTTCATAATTCGTCGGTCGAACTTATAACTTTGAAGCTTAACTTTTATTACCTAACCGGAACATTTCTTTGTCAGCCATCTTAACTCATAATACATAAACACAACCTTTTTTCCTTTACTAAAATGAATAATTTAACATGTAATAGTTATTGGATGCGCACTGCTGAGGAGTCTCACAATAGGAGGAAACGGCCGTCCAGTGCTTCCAGGTTTTCAATTGTGATGGTCTAACATCAATCGGTTCATGATCTCAATCAAAAACTTAATAATCCCCACAACCCCTATACATGTAATAGTTAGTTGATCATTACGAAAATCATTATTCCATTGTAACTTTATTACTTTATACATTTCATTCTTTTATAATTAAACAATGTTTCTTGATTAGCTGATGAATCCCCTCCGTTACTCAGCCCCCTTTCTAAAGTTGTCAAGATAGTATACTTTCATTATTCGAATACTAGTAACAGCATTACGACTTGATTGTTAATATTCGGTCACTATTAACATATGAAGCAAATATGACATTGACCAATCAATATAAATTCAATCTGTATAATTGTTTGTTTTTTTTACGGAAAAAATATATTCGGAAAATAATTTAATTAAGTAGTATATTTAGTGACTCGAATTATTTTTTATGGTTAGTGTTTTTTTGCGAGTTAGTTTTCTACGGGTTGGGGTCGTTAACCCCATGAACAACCCTCCTCCTTTACCCGGGCTTGGAACCGGTAGTAAATCTAGAAGACCTACAAACGGAGCAAGATCCTTAAATGCAATACAGAGAATATCAACCCAGTCACACTTGATGGCGAAACTCTGGAAGATTTCAAATCTTTCATGTACTTGGAAATCATCATTGATGAAAAAGTAGGGTCAGATGCAGACATAAAGGCGAGGATTGACAAATAAAGAGCCGCATTCCTACAATTGAAGAACATATGGAACTTACAACAACTGTCAACCAACACCAAAGTAAGAATTGTCAATACGAACGTCAAGTCAGTTCCACTAAACGGAGCTGAAACTTGGAGAACCCCTACAATCATCACCAAAAAGGTACAACTATTTATAAATAGTTGTCTACGCAAGATACTCAACA